TATTGTCGCAATCGTATGTTTAATGTTCATGTTTCCAAACGTTTCTGTTTTTCTGAAAACAACTGTTTTCATACAGCGATAGCTGGACGCTTTTGTCCATATTAGGAATGTCCTCATACGACTTTCTGTGCGAGAGCGCCATCCGGCTTCGAGTATGAATGAAACATACACTGCACGGAGTGTTTAGCGCTCCGTGATGTTCATCTCGCCTTATTCTGGGTCCGAATAAAACATCAGATCACGTCCCCCGCGTCCCCGCGTAATCTACGCCCCTGGTTCAAACAAACAAAACAACATTTTGAAGGCGCCATAAAGCTGCAATGTTTACACTCTTCAGAATGTCAACGTATGAATGACGAACAGTTGCATTTTATTTATGCACTTCAATTTGAAAACACCTTAAAATTTCACAGCTCACAAATAATAATGAAGGAGCAGACACTTCTTACCCCATGTGAAGGATATGTGAGCCAGCCCCAGTCTCCTGATATTTTGGTTGTGTCCAGGAGATTCACTGTAAATTGAACATAAAAACGTTACAACAGCTTTCAAAAACAACTTTTCTTCATAATTACTGGAACTCCACTATCTTGAAGCACATCCAATTACACGAGCCGATGCACATCTGAGCATATTTTGATAGACTGCATCAATATCTTCTCTTTATATGGATACATTTCTTATTCAAACAAACTGCTCTTACTTACCTTTGACCTCGTCACATGCAGACTTTAAGCAGACTGTCTAATGACAATAATATAATGTGTCTGGCACAGGACAAAATGGGTCACTGGTATCATCCTCTCAAGGCAAGAGATGAAGAGTCATTACAAATATCTTCCTAAAGGTTTGGCTAATGGCTCCTCAATGAGTCTGAACCCCTTAACGGCTGGATCAATAGACAATTTAACCCAGCGGTAAACACTAAGGTCTACTGAATAAGAGATGCACAAAATGGATTGTTTTGCTTTATTTTTTTTTAGAAAGACGGTTGCAATTATATAAAATAATAATAATAATAATAATAATAATAATAATAATAAACCTTCACAATACAGCACACCTGCTTGAGAACAGGACTATGTCATCAAATCTATCCAGACAGCCGTCACAAGACATTTCCACAGATCAATGATCTGTTTGACTACTTCAGTGTCTATTATCTTGCCATGTGAATCATACATAACAGATTGATCTTTATTTGAGTGAAAATGTTTTAATTGTTTCTGAAATTTAGACCACAACTCAATGAACAGAAACTTCAAAAACATACTTCCACTGGCAAATTTCATAAGATAAGTCTTTATTCATTACTTGGCCACTGGAGTAGTAAAATAAAAAAAAATAAATAAACACACACAAACATATACAGTGCCGTGAAAAGGTTTTTGCCCACTTCCTGTTTTTTAAATTTTTTGCATATTTGTCACACTTAAAAGATTCAGATCATCAAACCAATTTTAATATTACGTAAGTAAATACAAAATGCAGTTTTTAAATGATAATTTTATTTATTAAGGGAAAAAAGCTGTCCAAACCTACCTGGCCCTACGTGAAAAATTATTTGCCCCTCCTCTTAAATCATGAAAGAACTGTGATTAACCACATTATTTTAGAAAGCATAAATTATTATATATAATGTTTCATATTTAAAAAAAATAATAATATAAAATAAACAGATTATATTTTATATCAAATTAAATATTTTAAGATTAAGATATTTTGAGATATCTCATGCTTAACATTATACACAGCACGTTTATTCAGTTTCACATTTGGTTCTGTGCTGTGTTAAAAACTGAAAGCTGGAATTGTTCAGAATGGCACACACACACACAAATACAAGCAACCCGTTTATCAGTACAAAATATGTTGATGAAAACTGGTAACCAAACGGTTTTGGTTCCCATTGATGTCCATGGAAAATAATACTATGTAAGTTAATGGAACCCGAAATGGTTTGGTTACCAACATTTTAAGAAAGTCACACAGGTTTGAACAAGAAATCCATACAGGTTTGGAATGACATGAGGGGGTGTAAATGATGGGTGGGCTCATTTTTGGGTGGCCTATCCATTTAATTAAACAAAAATCCATAGTTTTCTGTCCTTGAAAAAGGAACTGAATTCATTAACATGAACTGACCATACTAACAGAAGAACCACCCGTACTTCAGACCCCAGGTGAGCTCTTCTTGTATTTTACATGTAAACGCAGTACAGTACTCCAGGGGAACTCTCTGATTCTGTTCATTAACAGGTTGTCTGTGCAAGTTTGTTTTCGGTTTCTTTTAAATGGCATCACTTTGGTTAATTTTCTACTTAGAGAACTTTATTTGAGCTCTCTCTCTGATCTCTCTGTCTCTGTCCCTCACTCGCAGGCTGTAATCAGCAGTATTAGTGCACTTGGTGATTGGACTTCTAATTTGGAAAGGCTCTTTCTGATTAGAGCACTGGGTCAGAAAGTAGGAACAGATGGCCTCTTTCACTCTCTCCTTCTTGGTTTTCTTCCCTCTCGCTCTTTGGCTGCTTTCTACAAACCAGTACTAACTAAAAGTAGCGCTGTTACTACCTTAACATTTATCCGTAGTGTGACAGTAGCACAGCTGCTTTCAAAATAGCATTGCCAAGTACACACTTCAGGACATAAGCACTAGCATCTGCATGTCAACATGTTTCATACACTGCCAATGACAATGTGCAAGTTAACTACATTCTGGGGTTTTTTGTCACAGACTTAAAACTAAGGGTGACAAGCTTCTGTGTGTGTGTGTGTGTGTGTGTGTGTGTGTGTGTGTAGCAGTGCAGCATGACAAAACCTTACATTATTTTGTCACAATGCATTGTGCACAGAGCTCTACAGCCGAGCAATCTAACAGAATCAAACACGCTCTTCTCGGACATTGGAAATCTGGTTCATTTTGGCAAATTGGTTTGTCATACATACTGTATAAATATATAGAGTCTCCACTAAAAGTCTGGAAATACCCTAGGCAAATTGGGATTTATAAAGTAGGACACGATCAGTATAAATCCTTGTTATGTTGTGATGACGTTGCATTGATAAGGGACAATAACATAAAAATCCAAGGCCACTCCCAGTCTGCTCCAATTGGATAGGCTTGACCAGTGTCAAATCCTTTTAGTGGGAGTGAGGTTTTATTTGGACAGGCTGCTGTGAAGACCTTTACGTTTCTGTGTATAATGATATGACGACAGTTTTTGTCAAATGAAATGGTAAAATGCTCATGAAGTGAGATGAAGCATCACAGGCATCACGCGTGTAGCAAAAGAAACCGCGCCATTCATTCACATAGAGACACGCAGAACATGCAGACATCATATCTAAATAGTCTTTTTGTGATTTAATATTCACAGACATTGGTCCAAATTGTGTTTTGCATCATCCGGCGGACTTTTGCTGACAAATAATCATGAAAGCAAAACAAGAAAGTGAAATGTTCCTGTATTTTTGTTTTTGTAGTGCTATCAGCCAATCAGTATAGTCATGTATTGTCCACATACTGACAGATTTATCACATTGTGATTTCTACAGGTATTTTAGACCACCTTGATAGCTGCACCAATACTAATATCAACATCATGCTGTTTACTACAGCCAATTTCAGAAGCTCATGTCACAATTACACATGGAGATGCCTGTCAGCGGTGACGAATGCCTTTCCTCAACAAAAGCATCTCTCCAGGGAATTAGGTGTACACTTTAACACAATTTTTAATCTTTTGCCCCCTCCGAAAATATCATTTTAAAGAGTCTATCCATCAAAAACAGAAAAGTCAGAGAGCTGTTGTGAAATAAGTTTACAGTTCACAATCTGAGACGTCCCACAGGCTGTGGTTAACTTTTCCATCTTTTCCTTTTACACTCCGCAAACTGTTCTCAATTTTCGGTTCTTCTGGCTTTTCAGGTGGAAGCGTCTATCAGACCTGAGGACTGATGGGGGGCGGCTGTGGCCTGAACACTCGGGGTCACTGACAGAGAAATGATGGTGTTTAAAACAACACAGGGTGAAGCACTGGTCTCAGCGAGTTCAGAAAATGCGCCATCATAGTCTCAGAACAATTAAGCGCAATGCATTTTGGGCTAAAAATGTAAAGCTTTTACTAACGAGACAATAATGTGTTCCCTTTCATGGGAACTTCGAACTGCGTCCTCTAGGGGTCGCTATGGGGAACGCCTCGTCGTGACCCGTGTCTGAAGCATACATTGAAAAAACACCAACTCGTTGGCCGGCGACAGCCATGACATCACTACCGGTGCGAATAATGTAGAATATTTATTTCACTAAGGAATACTTGTTTCAGAAGTCTATGCAAATAATTTCACCATTCTCAATGTGAATTTTGGTACCACAGCAAAAGCTAATATGATATTGAACACACTTCTTCATTTAGAATGTTAAATACTATTTAAAGGAGACATATTATGCCCCTTTTTACAATATGTAATATAAGTCTCTGGTGTCCCCAGAATGTGTCTGTGAAGTTTCAGCTCAAAATACTCCACAGATCATTTATTATAACATTTTGAAAATCCGCCCCCTTTTCCAGAATAGAGCTGCTCCATTACATCTCGTACCTGCTAAAAACATATGTTTTGGCTCTGATTATCATGTTTATCGCTCTGAAATCATGTGTTTTAAATCAAATGAGTTTAAACTTCTGATATACGGTTTTCTGAGTGCACACATCCGAAGCACACGGACAGAAAGCGGCTGTCACAGCATGTGAGTACTAAACTAAGTTCTCATTCACACACAAGTTTACATTAAAAACACACGAGTTACAAAGTCGCTTGCAAAATCAAAATGACGGCGCCGTGAGTGTGAACTTACAGATTAAGGGGCGGTAATATTATAATGAGATCCCTTTGCCACGTCACCAAGGGAGCGAAATCAGACACGCTCGTTTTCTCAGAGGCTTGCAGAAAAAGGCTTATCAAAACAAAGTGATTGGATAAATCTTTTTCACGTTTCCTTGGTTGGTAGATGCACCGGGGACCTGATTATAGCACTTAAAACCTGGAAAAGTAAGATTTTCATGATATGTCACCTTCAATATATTTTGCATACTGTTGTTCTAATGTATGAGCTTGCAAAAAACATCTTAGCACAACTTAGTTTATCAACTCTACCAACTCTGCTGTCCCTTTTTCTTGTTGTTCTGCAACCTTTACAAAATAATAATAAAATAAAGCATTGGTACCATCAACAGTCTCAGAACGTATTGGCTACAAATGTAAAGCTTTTGCTAATGAGTCAGAGATCTGTAAGCCATCCTGATGGGAACAGGAACATTGTGTTTATCATTAGTATGGAATGTATTTTTAATGAACGGACATGTGAATAATGCAAACGGGGGAGGAATCTACAAGAGAGTTAAATATATACAGTGGGTACGGAAAGTATTCAGACCCCCTTAAATTTTTCACTCTTTGTTATATTGCAGTCATTTGCTAAAATCATTTAAGTTAATTTTTTTTCCTCATTA